AATTGCTTTTGAAATATGTTGAAATTTCAGCCTCTAGAATAATGCATTCATCCTTTGTAATAGATTGTGCAAGATCATGAACAAGGTCATGCCTTTGAATATTACATGTTGCCAAACTCATCCTTTTTGACTTCTTGAAAAAAAGATCGCCAATATAATTCATTGCATATCTCGTTTCAGTATCTTCAGGTTCAACATTTCCAGTTGTCTGAAAAATCCATTAGCAATCCAAAGATGAATCAGCTTTTCTTTCCAATGTTAAAATCTTTAGGAAATACAGCACAGAAGGCAAAACATGGTTTCAGTTTTGATGACAAATGAGAGTAAATCATCTTAGGGCTGGTAAGATGGAATTTCATTGTGTGGCAAATTCCAAGATCACTTTCCTTAACAGAAAGCCACTCGTTTTCCTTGCTTTTTAACGCATCAGACATCCTAGAGACTTCACAGCTAGAGGCACACCCCTACACTTCTTCACTATCTCTTTCCCATTGCAACAAGGTTTGGACGTTTTCTTTCCTTGTCCAAATGCCTGTTCTTTAAACAACAAACAGCATTCATCTCCAGTTAATCTGCAAATGAGCAGGGAAGCGTTCCCATAGAGGATGCAACCTTCTACTTCGAGTAGTAACAATAATTGAAGCACCCTTCGATCCACCTGCCAACAAACACTTTAATCTATCCCACTTCTCTTGATCTTCACTCCATACATCATCTAACACAAGCAAATACCTTTCTGTTCAATATATCTGAAGGCGTCTCGCAAAGGGTCTAAGTCTAGATCTTCACAAGCAGTTCCAGTTGCAGATCCATTATAGCTTTATGATCTTTTTCACACTGAAATCTCTGAAATGCAAACCAAATTCTTAGCTCAAAATGCAGCTCACTCTCTTCATCATGTAGACCACCTGAGCAAGCGTTGTTTCCCAAGGCCCCAATACCAACAATAGGGTAGACGGAAATGTCATCACAACAAGCTACATGATTCACCAAATTTCAACAATATTTCTTTATCTTCATCTCTACCATATACGTGAGATTGAGTAATGATGGAGCCAGTTTGGCGTTCTTCTCCGACTTCAGCTCTCCTCTGTAAAACTACCCATTCAAATGAAACTTTGTCCTCTCCTCTGCAATTTCATCTAACCTCTCTCTAATCTCTCCATCCTAATGCCAATCTTGCGACAAAATAAATATTATCTGGACGAAGTTTTTTAAGAAAAAAGGTTTACCTGTTGATAAACCTGAATTTTGGTCTCAGACTCTAATTGAGAGACTTCTGCTGCACAATCATCCAAGATGTCATCTACCTTATAAGTGCTTCTTTTAACGTTGTAGCCAATTTGAAGCGCCTTGTTTTTCACTTGCTTCTCCTCAGCATCTCCAGCACAGCTTGAATAGTTGAGAGCAAGCTGGAAAGTTTTTTCATATCTTTGTCAACACCCCACAACAACCAACACTCCTTTCGGATGAGTGAGTTCAAATTCTCCAGCAAAACTTGAATAAAAGCGTCAGCCATTTGCAATTGCAGTTGAAAATCCAATGCTCTGAGAGAGATTTGTTAGGGAAGGAGATAGAGGTGCCTGGTAATGGAATTAGAGAATTGCATGTAGCTTGAAGAGAAAATTTAGCTGACCGGCCATCCCAAGTTTGGATTTAAAAAAATAGCCTTGAAACTGTTTACCATTTTTTTTCATTTAGAGAAGCGACGGTGCACAGTTAGGATCCATTAAACATGTAAAATGGGTTAAAATAAAAAGATTAAAACATATAAGGATAAAATCATAATTAATGAAGTTTTAAAATTTGAAAATTGAAAAAGAGCCTCAATATTCAAATCGCTAATCGAAACCAATTAAGGCAAAAATCGATATCTTCAATCCCTAAACGCATCTGTGCAATTTTCGACGATAACAGTACACATTCCGGCAAATTTTCACACCCAAATTCAATCCTAAAGCTTCTTCCTTCTTTAAAACTAGGCTGACATAACAATGAGGAGGAAAACCCAACGCCTCTCGAATCGTAGAGTCCGGCCGCGCAAGCAGTTCAATGGCTGCTCGGGTGGATCCTCGATTAGTAAGGTGTTCCGCAGCGGAGACGACGGCGGCAAGACAAGAGAGAGAACAAGAGCAAAACGGTTTTGAAGAGGAAGAGGAGGCGGGCAGAATTCAAGCCAGGAAGGAGAGTCGGCGAGAGTTCAGAGCAGGAGGAGGGAGGAGTGGCCGGGAGGAGGGGCCGCCGAAGAAAAGGTATTTGTACTTGCCGAGACCTAAGATGCTTAAGGATCCTTTGTGGTCGCTTAGCGATTGATGGCTTTTACTCTTGGTCGCTTTAAGCTATTTGGATTGCTAAGAGTAAAAGCGATAATCGCTTAAGGATAAATGACGCTAAGCAATCTTAGATCTGGCAGATGTTGATTCTGCCGTACAAGATCTCTTAAGCGATCGTAATCGCTTAAGCGACCAAGAGTAAAAGTCATGAATCGCTTTTACTCTTGGTTGCTTAAGCGATTTAAGATCGCTTAAGCGATCTCTTCCGAGGCAGAACCAAATCTGCCTAGATCTTAATCTCTAAGCGATCCTTTGTATCGCTAAGCGATTCAGATCACTTAAGAGATCTTGATGATGGCAGAATCATCGCCTCCTTAAGCGATTCTCCGAAGCAATTTTGTTATAATTTGTTTGGTTAATTTTTTGTGTATTTTGTATTGTTTGTAGATTTTAGGATTTCTCGGGGAAATATAGAGAGTACGGATTTGAGGTTGTAAGTGATACGGTACCGTACTTCCCTGTGAGGGGACAGTGAGGTCAGTTGGAATGTTTTAACGAGAATAACGGGGATTTTAGGGATAGTGAGGAATGGTGAAAGGAGATTCAAAGAGACTTGTTCAGTCATTTTGGGATATGGACACAAAATGGAAAAAAACATTCTGGGTCGGGAGTGCATTATATGTTGCTGCACCAAATAAAAGCAACAAAAGCACGAAATGTGGTTCATGGGGATGGAAAGCCAGTACGTTTTGGGATGATGGAATATGCGTTGGTGACTGGCTTAAGATGTGGGGAATTGCCAGGTGAGGTTGAGGAAAAAAGAATAACAGACAGTACGGGAGCCAAAAGGTGGCTAACAAGGTTTTGGCGGGGAACGAGTCTATTAAGGTACGGGAATTAGAGGACATGTTAAAAGATGGTGAGTTTTACGATTCAGAGACGTTCAAACTGTGTTGGTATTGTTCACATTCGATCCTATGGCTAGTGACCCAACAAAGCCATTGATATTGATGGGTGAAGTTGTAAGCAACTTTAACTTCTTTAATGCTTATCCGTGGGGATGGCATCATTAAGCGAACCATAGAGTCCCTGCAAACAAAAAACCTGGCGTTTAAAGCAATCCCTATGGGCGAGAAGAAAGACCGGCGAAGTACAATTGTTTGGCTTCCCATGGGCAATGCAGGTAAATATTAATAGCCTTTTGTTATATTTTTTTAATATAGTGTTTGAATATGTATGGACTGTTTTTTTACAATGTAGGCTGGATGTATGAGGTCACCCTGTCCTAGCTAAGCAGGGGGGAGGATTAGGGTTCGGTTGTGCAACAGACATTACTAGGATGTTGCGGTGGCAGACCGAAGTGTACCATTCGGATTATGAGCAAATAAAGATTGAAATTCAATCAGCTCGGGTAGATTAAAGGATTGCTTGAACATGCACTGCTTTAAAATGTCGATTAAATCTGATTGATTTTGTTTCTTATTGCAGGGGGTTGTCCATCCCTTCCTCACCGCTACGGGGGTGAAGCGCAACAGCACTATGTCACATCTTTCTGAGCACTAGAGGATCAAAGGGATGAAGGAAGATAGACCGCCTGACACAGGACCTACAAGGGTCACACATGTGAGGGCAGTGCAGGGCCACTGCTTGAGAAGTGGGGACGCGAGGAGGATGAAGCCGCAATCGGTGGGAGGGAGGAGGAGGGGAGGGAGGAAGAGGGTTCATAACGCCTTAGCAAACCAGTACAAACAGTACCGCTTTGCCAAGGCGTCGGGGTGGGAGAGTGAGGTGGTTGACCTCATAAAGAGTTTGTTTGATAAGATGGTAATAGCAGTTGAAAAGGTGGGGAGAAGTGGATAAGGTGGCAGGAAAGTTGTTAGGGTGGAGGAGGAGTTGTAGGGTGCAGGAGGAAGTGGTAGATAGTATTGAAGCGAGCGGTTAAGTGAAACCTGGGCTAAAAGAAGAGAGCGAAAGACAGGTTTGTGAAATTGCCTTACACCATACTAACACTGGAATTAAGAGGAAAACAAAGAAACAAATGAGGAAGAAGCCAAAATTGAGGGGGTTAAAAAGGTTTCTGAGGAAGTGGGGCAGTTATAATGGAGGAGGTTAGGCGAGAGGCGAAGGAAGCAGTGATGTACAAATGAGGATAAGCGGGCAAGCAAAAATGGAGTCCATTGTCGATTTGTATAGGCCAATGAGGAGGAAAAGAAAAAACCTTCTATGCCTATTACAATGAATCCGAAAGTGATGCCTTGTACAGTGTAAGGACCGGGGATATTCTCGGGATTGGTTTGAAAAGATTTTGACGATGGGCAGTGGCTTCATGACTCGGGAGGTATTTCGCTTAATTTTCCTAATTTTTGCTTATGTTTTCCATGAGGTATTGTTAACTTCATAGTTGTTTTTATTTGAGCAGCACATCGATGAGTATTGGCATGATGAGGCTGCAACAAACCAGGCATGGTGATTACTGTATCCGATTGTGCCATCATCGATGGTGGCTTTGGCCAAACACTGTATCGACATATCGCATTTATTGAAAAAGGCCATTGGTACATCTGTAGCAAAAGGAGCCAAGCGGAAAACGACAGGCACAGAAGACTGGACTACATCCCTAATGATTTAAGTTTGTGATCCACACTCGGGTCGCTTAACTACAACAATCTTTTCATAAAACCCCACCTTCACATTCACAACAATTACCCACACCGCCCCTGTCTTCCTCTTTTTCTTTTCTCTCTTCAAAATGATTGGATATACCCAGAAGCTGCATCAATATTTTTATGTCATCAACATCATTAGATTCTTGATCATCGGTCGTTGTTGGGTTTATCTGAGGAGGGCTTTGTTGGGTTGAAGGTGGAAATTTGGAAGACAAAGATAAAAATACTTGTGGGGCTTCACTGTTGCCACTTTCTTGGAGATTTGAGTTGTTGTGGGTTTGGTCTAAATGGAGATATATACGGGAGCCAAGCGGTTCTGTTGATGATTTGAACTTAGAGTTGCTTTCTTGAACTGGTTGTGTAGGAGAGGGGTGTTCTGTCTGATGTTCAAGTGTCAATCTTTTCTCAACCTGTCCGCAAATTAACAATAATAATAATAAAAAGAATGAGGTAGAAAATGAGCGTGCTTGATAGAGAATTAAATTGAGAACTGGAGCACTGGAGATACCTGCTTGACTGAGGAGAAGAAACTGGAGTGCCGAGATGGTGGCTGCATTGTTTGTATGAAAATCAAGGGTGTCACTCTTTATGCAAATAAAAATTTACACCAGTAAACTGACTCCCCTGTCCTCTTTGGTGAAAGCTACAAAAGGCTTTTGGATCTCACCAGTATAACTTGTGTACAACTTAACTAGAGAATCAACTATAGAGCAATTGTAATAACTTTAAAAATGTAGATTGGCACAGCAAAAACTTGAAGAAATGTTACAGTACCATGTCAGCAGGAATTCAATCAAACTACATGAGACAGCCAACATAACGAGCTCGAGGATACTTTCTCTGTAATTGTGGTCATTGCACAAAGAACTGATCAGATATGCGTAACTTGTAAAGAAGCAAGCCACTTAAAGAAAGTCTTTTTACTTTTGCTGTACTCTCAACATAGAAAACAGATGACCATCTATTTTCATGACCTGCAGGCAAAGATGACAAAGTAAAATGAGGAACTCTTAAGACCATCACTTCAGCCTTTATCTTGCCAATAAAAAAGTAAAACCTAAGGGTTCAGAAGTATCTTCTACATACCTAAAATAAAAATGCAATTATGCATAGAGGAATACAAGTCCCAGGTCAATTGCAAAGAACCTAGATAGAGAGGAATTTGATAATTAGTGATGATACGATTTAAGGAAATGCTTAAGTAACATTGCAATAACTACAACAGAACACAAGAGGTAAAAGGTCAAAGCTAATACCCCATTGTGGTCTGATTCTAATCATTAGCCACAGTGCATGAGCAATGGCAAGTAAAGTTGTCCAAACAGAGGTTATATATGATCGACCAACTTCCCTGCTTCTGTAGATGTGATGAACCGTGCAGAGGATCCCTTGATTCCATTCTGAAGATAAACAAAAGACAATTAAATGAAAAAGACTTAAATTAGTAAATGTATGATTTGGAAGAAAAGACAAGTAATACCATAATCAGGTCGAATACATATGATGCAACTTTTCAGTGAAATGAATGGCATTTATGTATCCATTTAACATCATCCAGATAACAAATATATATATATGCATCAAAAAAAAAAAAAAAGCAGTCTCTGATCAACTTGATGACTGATATCAGTTATTTTGCATATATATGTAAATAGAGAGCAACACATAAAGAGAACCTCTAAACCAACTCCTATATAACAGATGGTATACAATGTTTCAAGGAGTTCCATACAAAAGCTTTGAGTCGCTAACTTGGAACTTTTGTTTTCCTTCAGAAATCCCCTAAAACCAGTAAGCAAACTCACTTTGAATCAGTCCCCACAAATGCAATCTAAAAATTCTGTTTGGACTACGCCCTAACCAATTTAGGAGTCCAGCATCATGCTAAATCATTTGTTTTCCTTAACTCCTGCCTTATTCAAGATTCAGTCCTTATAGATCTTGGCCAAAAGGTTGTGAGGTCTGCTGTTTTCAACACTGTGAGGCTCATAGAGTACATCACTCCTTTACCGACTACACTTTAATTTTTAAAACGCATTACTTCAACTTGACTGATTCATGGATAATAATTAATAAGTTAAAAAGTATTTACTTAACACCTAAAAAACTAATAGTAACTTAAAATATAACGAACAGACATTCTCAAAGCTCTAAATATCGAAAATTTGATATGGACCAAAAAAACCAAATTTGCAACTATGGGAATAAAAAAGGCATAACTTAATAACAGAATCTACCTTATGAACCAAGGAATCCTCGAAAACGCGAGCATTTTGAAGACTCATATTATCAGTGGCAGCAGCAATGTAAAAGCGCGGTGCAAACCTCTCCATTGGCAGTACCGTAAGAGATTCATCATCTCCGCCGTGTGTCCGCCTACACAAATTCAATTGATAAAAGAATCTGATGAATTATAATAATAAAAGAAGAACAATTTGATTTAACTTTTTAATTACATGAAATTGACTCACCTGAACATAAAACAACGAGCGTAAAGATTTGGTGTGGCTAGGTGTTCCCGTTAAAGAAGACGAATTGTGAAAATTGTAACACTAATGGCAACGAATGCCATTATGGACCAGCAACAGTCGTTCAGCTTCTCCATCGCCGGAATTTATAATTTACATGCGTGTTTACTCTGCAGAAATTGGCGCGAATTCAATTTCTCCGAGAAGGGACACTTGGAGAAATAAGTACATTATAAACAGGTTGATTGAAAAAGAAGAAATATGAGCAGTGACCGTGATGGAAGCTCTTCCTTAATTTCTTTATGCGTTCAAGTTGGTTGGCGAGGCCCATTTTGCAAAAGCCCAAGCCATCAATGAATTTGATAATGCAAATAAGGCACGAAAGAATTACTATTTGCACTCCCTTGTACGCTTACTTCAACATGTTACAGTAAAATTTTTAAATTATTCTGTGTGAATTTTTGATTTTATACAGTAATAGATTATGTGAACATGGTTATAAGGATGTACCCAACATCCTTTCAGATAAGTTCATTCAACTTCTCCAGAAAAAATTAACAATAGCGTCGGCCATTTTCAATTGCAAGTTGAAAATCCAATGCTCTGAGAGAGATTTCTGGATAGAGCCATAGATGTAGCCTTAGTAAAACTCCCCGTTATTTACTTCCCTCAATCCCACCGTTTTTGTTTTTAGTCCCGTTCCTTTTTTAAAAGATCGTGTATATGGCTATTGTATTAGAATAATTTTTTTATGATAAACTTCTAACAAATTCTCACTTGATAGCACACATACATGGGTAATCAGAAATCTTCACAGCGTTGGTAGAAAAAAAGGAAGATACACTATTCACCAACAAGTGCATGGCACCGCTAGCTCATCATGTTGTCATGGATCCAGTTATGAACNTAGTTCTTTTACGTCAGTATGAAACATATAAAGTGTAGAATGTTTACCTCTATGCTAAACACATAGGGTTTACGATTCGTCTTTGTTCAGAACATAAAGGGTGCGTTTGGTTGAATATTCGTATAAATATTATAAATCCTATTCCCATAATATTTCTTTGTTTAATTATTTAGCAAATATTAGTATTTTTTTAATAAATTTTAGACCCATTAACTGAATTAATTTCATTAATACAGCCTGAAAAAGTTTTAAAAGTAACAAAAACACCCACACCCACCAAACTTCCCAGATTTCGGCACCATGATGGCTACAAATGACAAAAAATGGCCGGTAATTCACAGATGTGACATTTTCTGGCCAGATCCACTGCGGACATCGCTTAAGTGATCGTCCGTGTGGGCACTTATTCTTTGCTCATGATCGCTTAAGCGATGTTAAATCGCTTAAGCGACCAAGTGTAAAAGGTTAGGATCGGTTAAGTGATATCATAAATCTCTTAAGCGACCAAGTGTAAATACAGAGGATTGCTTAAGCGATATAGTAAATCGCGTAAGCGATCCTATGTATTCGGATATTATTTATTGTATTTCAGAACATCGGTTAAACGATTAACGTTATCTTAAACATACAGGGTTTACGATTCGTTCAGTGGACCATGACCGTTATTATATTTATATTAAACATATAGTTCTTTTANTCTGCCTTGGAAGAGATCGCTTAAGCGATCTTAAATCGCTTAAGCGACCAAGAGTAAAAGCGAGAAATCGCTTAAGCGATACCAGAGGATCGCTTAAGTGATCATCTATCTGGACATATTTTATTCTGCCTTGGAAGAGATCGCTTAACCGACCAAGCCCCACTAACTAAACACGTAAAATGGATTAAAATGAAAGGATTAAAACATATTTGGGCCGAATAGACATAATAAAAGTTTTTAAAATTTGAAATTTCTCAAAACAAGCCCCGCTAACTATTCACCTCGCTTAATCGAAATTCATTAGGGCAAAAATCGATTTCTTGAACCAAAGGGAGACACGCGATTTCCGATCCAACCTTCAAATTTCCACACCATATTCAATCATAAACTCAATTTCTTGAACCCTAAACGGAATATAGTCACGATTTCCAGTGATAAGTCATGATTTTCTATCGATTTCTTGAACCCTAAAATTGATTTCTTGAACTCTAAACGGAATCTGCACGATTTTCGGTGATACAGCCCATATTTTCGATCCAAGCTACAAATTTTCACACCAAATTCAATCCAAAACCATGGCTGACACTCACAATGACAATGACAACCCAATGCCACTTCGAATCCTAGATTCCGGTGGCGTAAGCAGTTCAATGGCTGCTCCGGTGGATCATCTGATCAGTGAACGTGGTCGACAGGGAGAGGAGACACCGACGGTACAAGAACAGAGGGAAGAATCGTCAAACGGTTCTGAAGACGAGGAGTTAGACGATTATTCAGGCCAGGGGGAGGATTCCGACAAGAATTCAGGGCAGGAGGAGTTTTCGGAGGATTCAGGCGACGAGGAGGAGGCTGGTGAGAACGAGCAAGCCGCCAAAGCAATGGTACGTCCTGAACTTTCGCTTAAGCGATCATTTGTATCGCTTAAGCAATTAACCTCTTTTACTCCATCTGCCCAGATCTAAGCGATCCTTTATATCATTTAAGCGATTGATTAAGTTGACTCTTGGTCACTTAAGCGATTTCAGAACGCTTAAGCGATCTTTTCGAGGCAGAATCATAGATGTAAGATCGCTTAAGCGATCGTTTGTGTTGCTTATGAGATTCTTTCAGTTTACTATTGGTCACTTAAGCGATTTGAAATCGCTTAAGCGATCTTGCACGAGGCAGAGTCAAGATCTGTTAAGCGATCTGAAATCGCTTAACCGACCACAGTCGTAATTTTTTTTTTGCTGATATTTTGTTTATTAGTTCTTTTGGTTTATTTTTGTTGCTGACATTTTGTTTATATCGATTGTGCAGATTATGCAGATTGTGCAGGCCGTAAACATCACAGACTATGAGTTGGACCTTATAAGTGATAAGGTGCCCTACTTCCCTGCAAGGGTGACGGTCAAGTCAAGTTGGGAAGTTTTTGACAGAATACAGGACATTTTAGATGGAATTAGGAATGGTAATAGCGATTTCAGTCGCACTTGTTTTGGTAAGTTTTTAGGACTTGGAAATCATTGGAAAAAGGCATTTTGGGGGCAGGGAGTGCATTACATGTTGCTGCACTCAGTAAGATGCAATAAAAAAAAAGAAATGTGGTTTGTGGTGGGCGGAAAGCCACTACATTTTGGCATGATGGAATATGCCCTGGTGACGGGCTTAGGATGTGGGGAAGTGCCAGATAAGAAGGCAAAGGCAGTAAAGAATAGTCGGGGAGCCATACAGTTTTGTAATAAGGTTTTGCAGGGGGCTAAGTCTATTATAGCACAGGGTTTAGAGAAAAGTCTAGAAACAGTTGAAAATACTGAGAAGAGAAGATAAAAGTGGCTGTGGTTTGTTTTTACTTCATCAATGGGCTGGGACTCAACAGAGGATGTTAGGAAAGATGGTTGTTGTTGCAAGCAACTTGAAGTTCGTTTAATCTATCCATGGGGACTGAAATCATATGAGCGAACCATCAGCAGCCTGAAAAAAGTAGACTGAAGTTAAAGCAGTCCCAATGGGATGAGAAGGATAAACCAAGCACGTACAATTGTTGGCTATCCCATGGGCAATGCAGGTAAATATTATAGCTTTTTATTATATTTTTGTAACAATGTGTTTGAATTATGATATGGACTGTTTTTTTTTTTTTTTTTTTTACATGTAGGCTTGGATGTATGAGGCCCTTCCTA